CGTAGGGGTAGTATTTAAATGATGACCGATATAATCTACTCCCTTGACTCCTCCCCTAATTTTCAACTACTTAGTGGTAATAATGCAGGGTCAAAGTTCTCAGTATTTTGCCTTCAGCATTTGAAGGAAAGATGTTATATAATACTAATAAATAAGAGATAGGGTTAATAATGTTTAAGAGTTCAGCTCTTTAATAAGCATCAATTCAGACTAATTATTTTAATAAATCCACGCTTGGATGAAAAACTACCAGGTAATTATGAAGATAACTGTGATGTCTGTTACAACCACTCACATCAAGGAAACATTACCACTTTCCAAATATAAGCACATGCCCAAGAACTATACATTTTTCCCCCTGAGGAGTTAGCTGTGAAAAAAAGGAAGTGAATAAGAGGATAAAAGCAAGTTAACTTCTTGTTTACATTCTTCTCCCAGGAATAAGATTTCAGAAGTAAACAGTATTATCTATGAAGATTTAAGTTTGACTCAAGTTTAGTAAGTTTAATGCCACTTGCTTTTGATTAGCAAGCTGGTTAATAATTAAATAAACGAAGATAATCTATTCAGGATGGATTTAAACCACTACCATAAAGAATCTTAAGCACACTGCTGACATTTTGTTGTGTTGTAAAACACAGTCTGCTCTGTGTGATCATGAAATGTTAAGGAAATCAGTGCTATAGTAAAGCTAAAGAATTAATGCTGTACTTAGCATCTGAAAGATAATTACTGCTTTGAATGGACTATATCCACAGGGTTTTAGATTTTTTTTAACTTCCTAAACAATCCTAAATTACACATCAACTTCAGGGGCTGAAATAAAGATTCTAGGCCTGCTATCCTTACACAAAAGATAATGACCCTAAACTATCATTTATAGTGCCCAAGTTCCCATTTTCTCCCACAAGTGGTAATCAACTACACCAATCCAGTGGTGCTATCGACCGGAGAGTCCTGCTGACCAATGACAGGACTATCCAAGGCTTCTTGAAGGCCAATGTTTTAGTCTCAAAACAAAGCAAAGGTAAATGGCTCCGCAGTGGGTTTAAACCTTACGTGAGAATGGTTAACAGACCACTCCCAAGTGACAGTATCACTGCCAGAGGGGTGTGCTGCGATATGAAGGAAGACTAAGTCTTGGACAATGACCAAAAAAATACAAAACACACTGGGAGGGGGGAGGGGGGAGGAGGGAGGAGGGGCAGGTACTTGCATACACAAAGAGTGCAATGCGCACCACCCCAAGGATGGACATATTTGAAACTCGGACTTGGGGGGGGGGAGCAAGGGCAACATACGTAACCTAAACATCTGTACCCCCATAATATGCTGAAATAAAAAAAAAAAAAATACAAAACACACTATTTACCACAGATGGAATCTGATGAAAGGGAGAGAAGAAGAGATATATAAGGCTTTGAAAGTGACTCACTCATTCAGAAGGTTCTCTTTGAGCTGGACAACAAGTTGGATCTCAGAGTGAGGAGACAGAAAGGATTAGGCCTTGGAAGAACTGAGATCAACAACAGAACGAGCAACAATGAAAAAAACAACACACACACACACACACACACACACACACATATTCCGCAGGTTTCCAAAAACCTTTACTCTCAGAAAGACACCCTAGTCTGAAAGAGCTTCCACTAATGCTGACTTCTGAAAAATATCATGAAAATCAACTTTATCTTTTTTCATTTTTAAAATTTTCTTTTATTTTTTAATTTTAAATCCTTTCTTTTCTGCCTTTTTTTTTTTTTTTTCATTTTTCACCACTATACTAGCGAGGAGAAAATCAACTTTAAATCTAGGCAAATCTACTGTAGCATGCTTCTTTTAGGAAGCCACCAATCTTTCTCCTTTTGATATTTAACACGATGTAGCACAGGACTTTCCATAAAACTTGAAAAGCTCATATAAATTTGTGTTCTCTTTCTCTTCTGTAACATTCTTAAATTTAACATACGGCACAAAATTCCCAAGATTAAAAGGAATTTGACAATATACAACTCTATACGATAATTTTAGGCTGAAAGATATTTTTTTCCTCTGAAACCTTTAAAATAGGCATTTTAGTTATTACCTTCTTAAGCAAAGTTAGCTTAGAAATTCGATTCATCTGGGTGAACCACCAGAAATCAGCGTCGTCACCCTGAGTAACCTGAAGAAACCAGTTAAAGGTGCCAGTCCTAATCCTGAAATGAATTATCTCTATACAGTAAACCAGGGTACTGAGTCTCTATTCTAATTTTATTGTCTTGGCGTTGAGTTTAAAACCAACCAACCAACAAACAGAACACCTCACAAGGTGATTTACACATGCCTGCAGGTGCCTCTTCCAAAGTTATGAGCCATCAGCTGTCAACAATTTGATACCACTTCTCTGGGATCACTTCCCTGGCAAAAATATCCAATGACTTGGGCCATCATTCCTTTGGCCAACCCCAGAGCAGAGAGCTCACTCTTCTCTGCTATATCTTTCAGGTAAAGAGACTGAAGTGATGAAACCGGTTGTCTAAATACAACCGTCAATCTCTGTATAGTACTATGCACTTACAAAGCACCTGAACGGCCATAGTATCACTCCTAAACAACAACAAAACTTTCTACAGGAGGCAAGGTAGACTTGAGTATCATCCCCACTGACTGAGGAGTGACTCCAGGCTTTGGGGAATGAAGTGGCTAGCCCAAGGTCACACATCTTTAAGTGAAAGAACTGGGGCAAAAACTTGAATTTACAAACTAGTGCCTCTTTCCATAACATCACATTAGAGAAGGGGTTTGGGATTTCAGGGAGTCAATCCGAGGAAGAGGGACTACTGGAGGAGAGGCAACACAATTTTAACTTAAACACTGGCTGTGTCTATGCGCAAAGGGCCTTGGAAGATCTGACTCCTGTCTAACTCGCCAGCCTTGTCTCCTGCCTTGCCCTGCAACCACAAAAAATGCTCTTTGCTGCTGTGATTCAGAACTACTAGTGGCATCCCAAAGGAGTCCAGCCATCCCAGCTTTTGTGCCTCTATGCGTGCAATTTCCTCCTCCTGAAACGTTCCAAACCCCTTTCTTCCTTTAGCCTGCTTACTTTCAACCTTTGTAACTCAGCTCAAAGGACACCTCTTTCAGGAGCTGACCTCCTCAGGGCTCCTGGAGCATTCTGGATTACCCATCATTGCACTGTCCTGGCTGATTTTCTCATCTGCCCCTTCCCCACACGTAAAGTAGTGGGGAGGAGGTTGAGGGAGAATGGGGTAGTACAACTGACGCGACTTGGCTTCTCCTGGTATCTGACGCACGGAGCAGGTACTCAGCGTATGTCTGTGGACTAACTGAACATGCCAATTCACAGGAGTAGCCAAGCCAGGCTTCCTGGACAGAGAACTTCAGACGATGCAGGACACCGCTCACCACATTCACGTTAGCTACTTGGACTCCTTTGCAGCCTGGCTCCTCCACGAGAAGGCCCTGAGAACGAACATCATGCCAGCTCAAGTACTACCACGGAATTATGACCTGTGTAAAGTTTTTGTGGGGTTTTTTGTTTTTTTTTTCATTTTAAGTGGAAAGCCTTTGGTTCCTTACACACTCAGAGTCATTTCACATTGGTAACCCAGAAGACAAAGTGACAGCCACATTTCTGGAGTATGTCCCTGGGGTCATACTGGTTAAGAGTGTGCATAATGGTTAAGAGTGTGAACTCTGAAGTCGGAGTTCAAATGTACATTTGTCAACTGGGTAATTTTGGGCAAGTTGCCCTATACTACTTCCTGACAGGACATACAAAATGGCCAGCATTCATTCCGCAAATACCGACTGAGCGCCTACTGTGGGCCAGGTGCTAGCGGTACAGATCTGTGACCTGGCCGTCCAATCTGAAGTACACCTCCATCAAGTCAGCCTGCTTTATTTCCTTCACAGCATTTAACACTCTGCAATGACCTTGTTCCCTAGTTTGCCTCCCCTCACTAGAAGGCAAGCTCCATGAGCGCAGAGGCCTTGTCTGTCTTGTTCATCCATCACCTCCCCAGCGCCTACCACACAGTTGGTCCACACGTGCGAAAGGCGAAAAGAAGTAATGAGCAAGTCAGACAAGGTCCTTATTACCTCATGGCCCTTGCATTTTGGTGGAGAAGGTACGGAAGAAACAGAAACAACATTAAAAAAATATACAGGTACAAATTACAGAAGTGGTAAGTGCAAGGAAAAACCCGGGACCATGGCTTCCCCCAAACGCAGGTGTTGCTCTAGGCTTCCTCAGGCTCCAGCTCCAGGCAGCTCTGGAGAGAAGAAGGATCCCACCCCCTGGCAGCCTCGTCCATCAGCTGCACAGAGGCCAGTGAGCACGAGGAAGGCACAGGGAAAGTTGTGCCAGTCCCATCAGAACTCCTGAGGAAGCTCCGCTCCTTTATTGGTTCAACAGAGTTCATCAGGCACCTAACACGTGCTGGGTACTTAGCAAGAACTGACAAGGTCCTGTCCTCATGGAGTTTCCCTTTTAGTGCCGAAACACAGTGATGTTCGGTAGCGAGCAGTGCGGTGCTCACCACCAAACAGAGTGATGTGACGGGGCATGACAGCAGGTGTCCACGCGGGCTGTGGGGTCACGGCAGGCCTCTCTGGGCCGGTGACATCTCAGCTAATACCCGAAGAGGTCAACCTTGTGCAGAGCACAGTTAGAACCTTGTAGGTAAAGGGAGCTGCCAATGCTTACACTACAGAGCAGAAGACCAAAGTCTTCACAAGTTACCACGGCAACTGTGACAAGTGCCCCGGCAGGCTGGGGCGAGGAGGAGCAGGCCCCGGGCTCCCGCACATGGCCCTCTCGGCCCTTTCGGGTCCGGGCAGCTCTTGACGGCGCCAGGGCGCGGGGCGGACGCCAAGGCCCGCCCAGACCCGCCGCCCTCCGCGGCCGCGCCGTCGGGACGGGGGCCGGGCCGACGTCCCTCCGAAAGTCTGGGTGGGGGCCGCGGGCCGGAAGGTGGCGGGCCTCCGGGGCTTACCTCGGAATTTGAGCTCGTGCTGCGGCTCGAGGCTCAGGACCTGCTCCACCTTCGCCATGTTCCTCGGCGGCGGGGCACCTTTGGCGGGGAGACCCCTGAGAGGTCACCTGAGCGGCAAGCGTTAATGCTGCGCCCCCTTTAAATTTTACAAGAGGGGGGGCCGGTGGGGCGCGGGCGGGGGTCGTCGACGGGGTGCGCGCGCGGGGCGGGGGGGGCAGCCTACGCGGTGCAGGCGCAGGGGCGGAGGGCGAGGGCGAGGCCGCGGCGCCCGGCGAGCTGACGGCACGCACGCACGCACCCACTTTTATATCTTGTATGGACTTCTTTTCACTTTGTATTATTATTTGTTACCTGTCTCTGTTCTACAAACTCTAAGAGCAGGGACTAGGATGGTATCCTATTAGTTTTTGATTCCTCAGAACCAAGCACAGGGTTGTGTGTGCTTAGCCTGAGTCCTCAGTGAATGTTCATTAAACTAATCCCTGAAATTCATTACCTCTTCTTTCCCAGAGTCACTCTCTCTTCTATTGTAATCGAAGTTTGTTTTTATTTCTCTTGCATACAGCATGGACACCTTTGGCCACACACACACTCATGAACGCCTGCACCCTGTGTT